AATGATCTCTCAATATAATATCATGAATAACATTCAAAGCATAATGAATATTCGAGTTTTCTGTCCAAGTGTTATTTGAGGAGCGCAAAAACTCTCGGGATTGGTTTTATTCGCGATATGACGATTCCTTGCAAATCTTTCCCACTGATCGCGAATTGATTTCCTCCCATTTTATTTCGAGAGCCAGGGAAGATACCATGATGAAAAAGAAGATGAAGTGAACGCAGTGGGAGAAAAAGCAAATTTTCTTTTTGACTTTTATTCGCGGAGTGGTTTTCGAAAAAGCGTTGATTAAAAAAAATTTCGATAATGCCGTTGTCGGTGGCCGCGCATCATCGGCGCAAGTGCTGAGTAGTGACACACAACTGGCCTGAGGTTTCAGCAAAAGATCCCGGTCTGCTAAATTTTGCAGAGGGCCGACGTCTTTCACGAGAAAGAAAGATCGGTGCCCGTGGGAACCAGGATTGGCGTCCACAACAGGCCATGATCACGATGAACTCTGCCAATAATCTCGGGACCGTGTACGCCACCAAACGCAGGCGCCGCAACGGCAAAAGGTCGGTACTTTTATTATTTTTATTTTTTCAAAATGATATTTTCATCATAATTACTCGGATATCCGACCGAATATAGAGACGTATTTTCAAGCAGAAAAAAATACTTGGCGCGTCTTGATGGTGTTCTAACCCAAGGAATGTCTTCTTCACTCACTTTCAAATAAACAACAAAAAAGTGGAAATAATGAAAAATCATCGCCAGGAACCATTGGGTTGCAACAATTTATCCACTGATTTCCCTAACGAAAACCAGGGTGTTAATCTCACACAGCAGGAATGTGTGGCTTTTATTTCAAGCTAATCATTCAATTGACGAATTCATCTTTTTTCCATGCTCATGCTTCTCAAAATTTGCCACGGAAAAAATAAATAAACAAAAATCAGACTTGAGTTCGTGGGAAATTTCAAACAAGTTAAAAATACGTTATTGCAAGTGTTACGCACACATGAGCAATCTTGGATGATACAAAATTAAACCGAAGCTTCGTTTGAAATTTTTATTGGGTTTCAGCAGTTGACATCATTCAAGAATCGGTGAAAATTCCAGGCCATCTTAATTGAGAAACACAGGTTCATTGACTTTCTTGAAGCAAGTGAAAAGAGCGTTTTAGATTCGTCAGCGAATTTTATTCTATTATCGGAAAAAGCTGGAAAAAATTAAAGGCCTTTCCTTGAATCAAAGGAAGATGTTGGATATTCGAAAAAATGTCAAATATTTTTTGCGAAAATTAAATACTATATAAATAAAAGTTCCAATATACGCTTACTTCGGTATGAACATGTGAAGTTTCGAGGTTTTCTTTCAACGCTTCGTCCTGACGGACAAGTCAATCTTCCATCGATGGTTTTTTATTCGCATATTTTTACTTGCCTCATTCTGTTCTGATATTTGCCTGGGTTTGTTGTTGGGCTTTTGGGTTCAATGTTGATGATGATGAGGGGTTCCTGGGCATCGAACAACACCCCAAGAGTGAGAGAGGGGGAGAGGAAACAAAATTCATACTCATCTCGACCTCATCTGGGCTGAATTTTGTATGAGTGCAATTTTATTAGCAGAAAAGGGAGAGCAGCAATCATTAAATAATGATAGAATTTGAAGAACTTGCTGCGCTTCTATTTCAGGAAACTCCATTTTCTCCATTTAAAGATGAATTGCTCCAGCGAGGATTTTTTGCGTGCAAAATTTTGGAATATTAATCGAAATTTGAACCGAGAGCTGTTTTTACAGATTTTGGGATTGGGATCTTTTAGGATTGATGCAATGCTCCCCGGATGAAAAATAGAAAGCTGTGGTCGGATGAAATAATGATCAAAGCCATAATTACAATAACTTTGTCTGAAATGATCTCCCATTTTTATCGTGTATATAATACGGGATTCAAGATTGTTTCCATGGCGTTGAAGTAAAAATTGTTATCATCCACAAACAGGTTATAATTCATTAAAAACGAAACAGGATCGATCAATAGAAACCAACCTTTTCTTTTGGAAAACTGAATTAGTTTAGTTTCCTGCACCGAAATTTAATGATGCTCGGGCACAGTGATTAACAAGCGACGTTTAACAATCGGGAAGCATAATTTCAATCCCAATGACAGGTGGGAGAGAAGAAACCCGTGTAATTTCCCGGGTCGCTCGTCGACATCGCCGTCGACCAGGGTGTCAATTTTTAGCCGGGTTCCGTCGCACCTGGGGGCACCGAAACCCGTTAATTACGTCTGTCCACCGGGTGTCGACTCTTTGTCGGGCTTTTCAGTACTGTTTTTCTTTCCCCGTACTGTTTCTACAGGGTGGACCAGAAAAATGTGACCGATTTTTTATATTTCTTTTACTATACCCGAACATTACCTGAAAATTTTTTAGAAACCCCTTCGAACTACGGTCGAATTCATTGGCCAATTTCAGCACAGCAGTGATCTTGTGTTCACGCGACATTTTTTCGCGAATTTGCTGATTTGCGATGAATTTTTTGCACTGATATTTTTACCACATCACTTACACAGCGTTTAAAAGCGTTTGCCAGCAGATAAAATTTGATTTCTCATTTTTTATAATTGTAAAAATAACTTTATAGTCTTCTGATAAATGCTACTTCGATACCTTGTTTAATTACAAATTATCGATGCAGTTTATCAAACATAAGTATGTTAAACTTTTGAAAGGTGGTGATTGCAACACAACAGAAATACAGTTACTGAATTTGAAAAGCCAGTCAACATTTTGTTCCGGTCAACCACGTATTTTATTCTCTGTTTCAACATTTATATTACTCCAAGTTCACACCGTTTCCGAATTCTGTCCATAAATATAATTTTAAGTCTATTAATTACTTTAAAAAATTTCGTCATGGTTCAACAATGATTATATCTTCATGCATGGAGTTTTTCTGAGAATTGATCTTATTGTGAACCATCAAAATAC